TGGGTTAGGAGTAAAAAATGGTGATTCATCTGTTTCAATGTTTGTTTCGGTGGTCATAATTTCTGTTGAGGTACCAGATTGTGGTTCATTTGGTCTGTCAGGTGTAGATGGTGGTGTTTTTCTGTTAAAACGCCTAGGCTTTTGTTTTACTGGCGAATTGAGAGAGCTATTATTGCCTAGGCTTCTCGATCTTTTGTTCTTACTAGACATTATCATATGATAATATCGCGTTTCATGTCAACGACTATTGAAGAAGTTTTTTTTTTTTTTTTTTTTACGTAAAAATTACGCAGTCCGATAGAGGGCCGAATGATATAAACCAGCTACTTAGACAACTCGACAGGTACTGAGACTGCCGAGCTCCAAGTGGGGGGAATGCAGATAAGAAAGGCCACTCTATCTAATTCTATGGTTGTTTACACTATTGTTCAAACTTAATAAACAAGCAGTTACTCACCGTGTTTATGGTTCTGTTCAAGAATTAACTATATAATTGTTAATTACACTGATTTTTTAACATAACAGTTCACAAATTCACTGATAATTAAGATACTTGTGAGAAACGATGTAGCAGGTGGGTTGTTAGATACTAACGCATCGACAATCTTCCAGTAAAATCTCATATCAGAAGGGTTTTTCAATAAATTTCCACAAATTTCTATTTTATTAGCTGAGTGCTGATGAGTAAGTCCATAAGGGAACAGTCTACTGCTCTTTTTCACCTTCCCCATGGAGAGTAGATGGCGACTAGAAGTATCTTTCGTCAATATCGATCAATGGTCGCCCGGAGCCTTTCTTCCTTTCTAACGTCACATTTCCACTGCTAAATTTTTCAAACCAACACCGCGCAGTGCCCTGGTCAAGGGCACGTTTACCTTCATATTTAGTAATTTCACGAGTTGCTTCAGTGGCTGTGAAATGTATTTTCCATATTGCCTTAAAATTATGAGAATTTTGCAAGACACTCATGTTTCTTTTTTGAAACAAATAACTTAAACGGAGGCTTTTTTTGAAGAAGTTGAATGGAATTAAACAAGCTTAGAGAATGTTCTAAAGGAATTATTAAGTATTGGTAAGTATTAAAATATTTACAGTCCTTTGAAATCTTGAATTTGATAAAACATTCTTTCTTTTTTTAATAGATTGTATTACATATGCTCTCTTAAAAAATGACTACACTTAACGGTCGGAAAGCTTTTATTTCCTGTTTTTCCTTAGTAAGGGCTATATTTTATTAAACGTAATTGCCTAAATACAGTTTTTATTTATTAAAAAAAAATTGAAAAATCATTTTTAATTTATAAATAAAAAGTGTATTTAGATAATTATGTTTATTATAATATATCCCAGATCCTGAAAAAAACAAGAAATAAAAGCTTTGCAACAGTTAATTGTACTCATTTTTGCTGAAAATGTGGATTTTTTAGGTGACAAAAAGGATTTTTATCGGATAAAAAGTCATATCACATCATTTTATTTCACAACTGGAGGTGAATCTCAAGTTTTTGCCAAATAAACCTCAAGTTAAATAATATGGACTTAAATCTTATTAAATGATGATGAAGTTTTTCTAAAAGTAGGATATCTGTAGCATACATATAAAAAAAAAAAAAATTAATGAATAATTTATGGTTATTTTTAAAAACATAATTTAGCTTAGATTAGGCACTAAAAAGTCCTCTTTAGATGATTTTAACGATGACAATCTATATCTTGATTCAAAGTAAATTTTGTCTTGTTTGCAGTGAAGCAATTGTTAATTGCTGAAATTAAATATTTCTTTAGTTATAGCTTCCTATTCATTAAAAAACATCACACTTAAAATCACAAAACTTTTATTTCCTACTTTTCTGCTGAAAATTGGCCTATTGTTTATATGAACTTTTTTGTAGCTACTAAGGTCTGTTATCACTCCTATAAGAATTTCTCTCTGCTTACAGGACACCCTTTATATATATATATATATATATATATATATATATATATATATATATATATATATATAGCATTTCCAAGTCAATTTCAACCTTTTCCAAGTCAAATTCAACCTTTTCCAAATCAAATTAAACTTTTTCCTAGTCAAATTAAACCTTTTCCATTTCAAATTAAACCTTTTCCATTTCAAATTCAACCTTTTTTTATTTATTTAATTATCTTTAATTTTTCGATGTGTGGGTCTGTTATCTTATGAGTAGTTTTTGAAAATGACCTCCATTTTACGATTACGCCGCTGCGTTTTGACTTATTTAAGTTTTTAGAATTTATCCAATATAAAGGTCTACTTTTATGTTTCCGGAGCCATAGATTTTGAAAACTACCTCCATTTTAAGATTAGTTCACCGCGTTTCAACTTATTTCAGTTTTTCGGATATTTTTCATATGAGGGTGTATTTTTATGTTTCCGGAGCTGTAGATTTTGAAAATGACCTCCATTTTAAGATTACACCACTGCGTTTCGACTTATTTAAGTTTTTTTGATTTATTTGATGTAAGGGTGTATTTTTATGTTTCTGGAGCTGTAGATTTTCAAAATGACCTCCATTTTATGATTACGCCGCTGCGTTTTGACTTATTTAAGTTTTTCGAATTTATCCAATATTAAGGTCTACTTTTATGTTTCTTGAGCCGTAGATTTTGAAAATGGCCTCCATTTCATGATTACACCATTGCATTTTGACTTATTTAATTTTTTCTAATTTATCCAATTTAAAGGTCTACTTTTATGTTTTCGAAACCGTAGATTTTGAAAATGACCTCTATTTTATGATTACGCCACTGCGTTTCAACTTATTTAAGTTTTTAGAATTTAAAAAGTATAAAGGTCTAATTTTATGTTTCTAGAGCAGTAGATTTCCCCCATTTTGTAAATGACCCAATTTCAAGTTTATGCCACTGTGGATTATAAAAGTTTTTTTTTTTTACTTTTTCGGTATAAGGATCTACTTATATGTCATCGGAGACATATTGAAATTTTTCTAATCTTTAATATTTAAATTTATCTAATATTTAAGCTCCATTTTATGATTAAGCCGCTGCATCTCGATTAATTAGGCTTCATTTTGGATCTTTCAATACAAAGTTTCATCAATATGTTTTCGAGTATGAATAAATAAATAAATAAATATTATGAAGCTAAAGTTAAATTAACCACATAACACAAACTAAAAAGCCGAAAAGCAACTGGTAATAAATTTAACCTGCCGTATTCAGATTTTTCAGCTAATTGTTCTTATAAATCTTATAATTTTGTGAAAGGAGACCACAACATTAAAAAAGATAACTAAAATTAAATTAAAAATGAGACAATACATATTTTATTTATTTTGATTAGATATTTTTATTTATTTATTGAAAAATAAATTAATCCTTCGTATTTTGTTTTTTATTCGAAGGAAAAATCAAAAACACTTAAAAAAACCAAAACACATAAAAGTGTGTGTTTGGGCGGGGATGTAAAAGCCTATTTCTTGTCTGGATTTATATCGAGGCACTGTTGTAAATCTCTCTTCACATCTATCATTGTCCCGACAAATGGTCTACATTTGTGGTCTTTGGTGAATCACTGTGATGCGATTAAGAAACGTTTATGAGAAAATACACATTTTATTAACATAATGTGACATCATTATTTAAATTGGATAATTGGATAAATTCGAAAAACTTGAATAAGCCGAAACGCAGTGGCGTAATCTTAAAATGGAGGTCATTTTCAAAATCTACGACTCCGGAAACATAAGAATACACTCTTTTATGATAAAAATTCGAAACACTTAAAGAAATCGAAATGCGGTGGTCTAATCTTAAAATGGAGGTCGTTTTCAAAATCTACGGCTCCGGAAACATAAGAATACATCCTCATATGAAAAAAATCCGAAAAACTCAAAGAAATCGAAACGCGGTGGCCTGATCTTAAAATGGAGGTCGTTTCCAAAATCTACGGCTCCGGAAACATAAGAATACACCCTCATATGAAAAAAATCCGAAAAACTCAAATAAGTCGAAACGCGGTGGCCAAATCTTAAAATGGAGGTCGTTTTCAAAATCTATGGCTTCGGAAACATAAAAGTAGACCTTTATATTGGATAAATTCTAAAAACTTAAATAATTCAAATCACAGTGGCGTAAACATAAAATGGATGTCATTTTCAAAATTTACTGATTGGGAAACATAAAAATACACCCTTATATCGAATAAGTAAAAAAAAACTTAAATGATTCGAAACGCAGTCACGTAATCTTAAAATGGAGGTTATTTTCAAAACTAGGTACAGGACAGCATAATACTAGTCCCTAATAAATCCGTATAGGTACAATAAATCGATATCCGTAAGTGAAAATTCTACTTAGGAGAGCATAATAATAGACTTTCATATTGGAGGGGAGAGGGGATGACCATTATTTAAAAAAATATATAAAATTTACAAAAAATTATAACATTAATTTGAAATGAAAATGGTTGAATTTGAATTGGAAAAGGTTTAAAATTTGAAATGGAAATGGTTGAATTTGACTTGGAAAAAGTTTAATTTGATCTGGAAAAGGTTGAATTTGACTTGGAAATAATTGAATATGACATAGAAATATCACACTGAAAAAATCTAAAATGTTAAAACAAATGGATATGCAACCGCGTTATCAAATTTTTTTTTGTATTTTTCAAAAGCTATGCCTTCGATAATATAGTAAGTGGCCTTCATTTCGAAAAAAATCAAAAATTGACAAAAATTCGAAAGTTGAATTTGAAATGGAAAAGGTTGAATTTGACTTGGAAAAAGTTTAATTTGAAATGGAAAAGGTTTAATTTGACTTGGAAAAGGTTGAATTTGATTTGGAAAAGGTTGAAATTGACTTGAAAATGCTATATAATCAAACTACTAATGAAGAAGTTATGATATCTGTAACTGATCATTTTCTAATCATATTTTCATTTTACAAATTAGATGATCTTAATGATTACTTATAGTTGTTGGCTTTAGGTTAAATTAATTTATTTTTTTTAGTGATGGATATATCAGGATATTCACTAGTTCAATCTCCAGACAAGCTTCAGCCAGAGAGTTAGAAGCATTTGAGAAACAGCTTTCTGGGCAAAAGTCTTGGTTTGTACCCTTTGATTGTATACTAGCTTCATAATTAAGTAATAACGTTATTTTTTTTTAATTTTCAATTGCTATTTGAACAATTGATAATACAATCTTATAATCATTGATTATGAGAATAAATTATGAAAACATATAAAACCTAAGGTTTGAGATTGAAATTCATTTTATTTAACATGATACTAATTCCTTTGATTTGATCTTTGATGTTGTACACACCATCAAGTTATTTTAAAATATCTGAGGTAGTTCCTTAACATATCCATGTTAAGAACTGGTAAAATAGTTTGTCCTAATTATAATAATGGTGAGCACAGTGCTTAATTGACACGTACAGGTATTGGCATACACAGACGATATACTTCTGGTATTATAAGGACACTTCATCTGCACTAACAAGGGGAGTCTGCAGTAATTTTATAATCAATTTCAACTTAATGGTGGTACTACATCGAACAATATTATACACATATCCCAGCGTTCATTCCAATGGACCCTAGAAGCCGAGAAATAAATTACTTTATTAAATTCCAAATCGAATTTATGTAATTTATTTTTGCCTTTGCTTTGTCCAGATTTTGAGGTTATTGTAAATCAATCCATTTCTTTTTTTGTGCAGAATAAGAAAAAAATATTGACTATTGTATTAAATGATTCGTAATGTAACATAAATTAAAAAAACCAAAAGGTGTTTTCAGTAAAATAGCCAAATAAATATTTGTTATGAAAAATCGAGTTAGATTCATTTTTAGTATTGTTATCGAAACTCTTAAATACAAATTTTTATAGAAATCAAAAATGGTAAATGGGTATAATTTGGATGTCGTGGCTCTGCAAGAGGTTCGCTGGCCAGGGTAGGGCTCGATGAGGGAAGGAAAGTACACTATTTGGTACGGAGGAAGCGGGAATCATTGTTTAGGTACCGGGTTTCTAATTAGGAATAGATTACTATCCGCTTTGAATGACGTACAATCCTTTAGTGATAGAATTTCGGTAGCTATATTTCAGGGACGTTGGTTTAAAATCGCATTAATAAATATACATTGTCCGACCGAAGACAGTAACAATGAAGTCAAAAGTGAATTTTATGATAAACTCAAATGGGTTTATGATAAACTACTGCGAAACTACATGAAAATAATTATAGGTGACGCAAACGCAAAGGTAGGAAGAGAAGAACTTTATATTCCGACGATCGATAAAGAAAGTTTACATGAATATAGTAATGATAATGGGATACGTCTGATAAATTTTACCATCTCAAAAAACCTGATAATTAAAAGTACTACGTTTAAACATAAGGATATTCATAAATATACTTGGACATCACCGGATTCGCAAACACGAAATCAAAATCGATCATGTCTTGATACAACATAGCTGGCAAAGCAGTATAATTAATGTACGGTCTTATCGTGGAGCAGAATGTGGGTCGGATCATGAATTAGTAATCGCGAAACTTCGACAAAAACTTAATATAAAAAAGAGAAAAGAAAACCGTTTCGATTTTGAGAATTTTAATTTAGAAAAATTAAAAAATCCATCAATTAGAACCCAATTCAAGCTAGATGTTAAGAATAGGTTTGAAGCTTTAGAGCTTTCTGAGGAGGACCACGAGGATATTCTTATTCCGATTCACAAAAAGGATCCGAGGACGGATTGTTATAACTATCATTGTAATAGGAATTTCACTCCTTCCGGTATGTTATAAAATATTCACTTTAATCTTAACCAGTCGAATCACGGAATACGCCGAGGAAATTATCGGAGACTACCAATGCGGATTTAGACGGAATCGTTTGACTATTGATCAAATATTTTCTTTACGGCAGATATTAGAGAAAAAATTGGAGTACAACGGTATTGTTCACCAGCTATATATAGATTTTAAAAAGGCTTACGATTCTATTGACTGCCAGAAACTGTATAATATTGTAATTGAGCAGGGGATTCCAAAAAAAACTAGTAAATCTAGTCAGGGTGTGCTTGACGGGGACACTCAATAAAGTTAGAATCAGTAATAATCTGTCCGAAAAATTTGAGGTTCGTTCGGGTATAAAACAGGGGGATTCCCTTTTGCCTTTCCTGTTCAATTTGGCATTAGAACATGCCATTAGAGAGGTAATGCGTACCGAGAAAGATTGGATCTTTCTGGGACAACATCGATGCTGGGCTATGCTGATGATCTGGTACTGTTAAGCGAAGACGTTGAAACTATAAAACTAAATACGACAACGTTAATGAAAGCCGGTAAAGAACTAGGACTCGAAATAACGTGGATAAAACAAAATATATGGTTAGCTGCAAAAATGGCGGGCGATACTACTGTTGATATCAATATAGATGGTAATATGTTTGAACAGGTAGATAAATTTAGGTATCTAGGTTCTACGATAACTAGAAAAAACGAAATTGAAGAAGCGATTAAGGTTAGACTGAAGGCGGGAAATGCTTGTTATTTTTCTGTGACAAAACTACTTCGTTCGCGCCTCTTGTCCCGGAACTTAAAAATTAGAATCTATAAAACAATTATCATGCCTTGTTCTTATGGATGCGAAACTTGGCCACTTACATTATGGGGGGAGCAGCGTCTTAAGGTTTTTGAAAATAAAGTATTGCGTAGAATATTCGGACCAAAGAAGGATGAGTTAACCGGAGAGTTCAGACGGTTACACAACGCCGAATTGCGTGAACTGTATCTGGGTAATATAATTGAGGTAATTTCATCGCGACGAATAAAATGGGCTTGTAAAGTTGTTGGGCTTAGTAACGAGAGAATTCCTAAAAGGTTAATATTTGCTGTGCCAAATGGTAAGCGTCCGAGGGATAGACCAAAGTGAAGGTGGGAAGATTGCATTAAAGCCGATCTGAAGGGACTGGGTTTGGACGGCGAACGGTGGAGGGAGGTGTGTAATAAGCGATTGGTGTTGTCAGCATCGAACCTTCGGGTTCGCTAAGCCTTTTGTTATTATTATTATAGAAATCAAAAATTGCAAAATTTAATACTTGATTTTCTTAAAGGATTTTTTTCCTGGCATTCATAACTTCTCAGGATTTTCTTCAAATTCCTAAGTAGTACAACCATTGGAAAGCTAAATTACTGTTCTTCTAAGCCACATCAATTACTTTTAGATCTCATTTATTTTAAAACTAGAAATGAAGAAAAACTTCTCAATAATTCTTTATTTTAGATCTTTAGTTATAATTTGTTTACGGAGGTCAGTTTTTTCTCCATTTCCAGTTCCATTTCTTGTAGCCTATAGAGTCCTAAATTCCTAATCACATTTTTGAGGTTTTAGGCGAAATTTCGAAGGGTCCAGCCTAGACAAAGGTATTGTTCAAAATATTAAAAAAATTTCTATTGCTATAAAAATTCATATTTCAGGATTTTTTAAGGTGCGAAAAACGAATATCAACTTTGTTCCTCCCTAAAAAAATATTTATGCTAGATACCAGACTGGTTTCGAATAATTATTATATTTGGCAGATAGCTGCAATTTGGACCAACCGAGGTAACAATGTGGGAGTAAATATTTTTTTAGGGAGAAAAACTTCATCTAAGAAAACCAAGTATTAAATGTTGCAATTTTTTATTTATATAAGAATTAGTATTTAAGAGTTTCAAAGGAAACTAAAAGCGAATCTACAATGGCTCTACAATCTATCACTGGGTCCTGGCCTCCTCAAGCAGCTTTTGCCAGTTAATTCATTCAAGTTCTGCTGTCCCCCAGCTTCGAAAACCAAGCAGGTTTCTTGAATCTTCATTTACATCAGCCCAGCGTAATTTGGGGAGGCCTCTTGCTCTTTTTCCATGTCATTCTTCATCGAGGAGTTTCCTAGGAATCTCTTGTGTATCCATCGTTTCCACATGACCCACCCATCGAAGCCTGCCAAGCCTTTTTAACATCTGTTTTCTTTAATAATCAGTACAGTTTGTTGTTTGTTCGCCTTCTCCATGTCATGTTCTCTCTTCGTGGACCATAAATAAGTCTCAAAATCTTTCTTTTTAAATATGGAAATGTTTCGCTCATCACTTTTCGAAAAAGCCCATGTTTCCGATCCTTATGTAAGTACAGGCATGATGAGTGTCTTATACAGTCTCATTTTGGTAGTTCTGGAAAGTAAACTGCTTCCAAACTGTTGGCGCAATCCAAAATAGCATCTAATAGCAGATGATATTCTTCTTCTTATTTCAGCCGAAATATCATTATTTTTGTTTACTTTGGAGTCCAGATACATAAACTCATTTACATGTTCAAATGTTTTGGGTCCAAATTGTATGGTAACTTCATCAGGAGGCTTCACTTCATTAGCGACCATGTATTTAGTCTTCTGAGAGTTCACGAAAAGCCACGTTTTTTTTCAGATGACTCAAGGCCAAGGATGGCCTCTTTTACAGCTGTTCTGTTCTGACCGCTTTTTCTAAACATAAGTTAAGCAATAGGCATGCAAGAGAGTTTCCTTGTCAGACTCCATTAAAAGCTGTAAATCCTTGAAAGATATTGCCTTAAATACACATCACATGTTCAATATTTTCCATAGTCACTTTTACCTGGTAAAAGTTTTGTTGGGATATTAAAAATTTTCATGGCCTGGTATAGAGGTTCACACTGAACACTATCATAGACTGACTGAAAATCCACAAATAAGTGGTGTGTGTGTATCTGGTACTCACGGCCATGTTCCATAGTAATGTGTAAGAAGAATATCCGATCAATTGTGGACTTCTCCTGATAAAAACCACATTGATATCTCCCAAGATTTTTTTGACATGCGGCAGCAGGCTCTTAAAAAGTATGTTGGACAAACTTTTATAGGCACATGGTAACAGCAAAATACTTCAGTTGTTTTTGCAATCAAGCAAACTCCCTTTCTTGTGTATTGGGCAGAGAATTGTTTCATTATAATCTTTTAGTATTACTTCATTAGTCCAAATCAAAACTAGGAGGTTATATAACAGCTTTATGAGCTCTTCTCCAACTTCCTTGAAGAATTCGGAA